CTCCTACCTCAAAGCACACTGTGCGCTGTCGATCTTACGTGCTGCACAATAATGTTTAATATTTAGTATTTACTGTTATATTCCCATAGATCATCATGATGTTGTTTATTATATTGCTCTTTTTCTTCTGCTTGTTTTCTCTTTTTTCTTTCTCAACAGGTGATCCAGGTGATTGATATATATATTTTTTGTCTGCTTATTTTGTTGGTTTTTGTTTTTTGCCCTTTATCCCCGTCCCTCTTCCCCGCTGTTTTCTTTCCCTCTTTCTTTCTCCCTTTTCTTTTCCCCAGTCAAATCTGTCCCGTATTTAGCAAGTGAAAATAAAATAAACAATAAAAGGTGAATCAAATAGACCAATACGGCAAGGCTGGGATGGTCCATTTGGTAAAGTAAATCCGTTGGGCATCTTTCTTCGCCTTCAGACAATAATCCTGATGGCAAAAGAGCCGAACGGGACAGGCAAAAAAAAAAACCTTCATAATTTCTAGCCAAAGTAAGAGAACTCACAAGGAGGTAGGTGTATCGTTGGTAAATAGACTGGTACTTACATAGCACCCTTCCACTCAAGTTGAGCACTGAGTGCACTTTTTACTGTAAATCTCATTCACCTAGTTATTTATACAGTGCTTTTATCTATGCCTGAGCACTTTGTCTAACATTTGAAAACTCACTAACACTCTGTATGCAACTCGGGGTTCAGTATCTTACCAAGCATACTTCAACATACAGACTAGAGAAGCCAGGGATTCAGTCACTGAACTTCCAGTTCATAGGTCAGCCCTGTTGTCAGCAGCCGAAAGATGCCTTCATGAATGCAAACGAACAGGGTTTATGAGACGGTGCAGATTACCCTTTTACACTGAGTAAAAGGAAAAGCCAGATTAGACTTTGGCAATATCAGTGACACGTAGCATCACCTTTCGTTAGGCTTAAAGTAGATGACTAATTTTATGAATCATTACAGCACCAAGATACAAGTTCATTTATCTATTTATTTCAGGCCAGATAGAGAAATAAAGAGAAGGCCACTGTAGAAAGGCACTACTTTAGTGTATCCTCCAATAATGCTGAGCTCAGATTAATGGGAAGCATTTTGACCGGTTCTTCTTGGCTCATGCTCCGCAATAAGTTTCATGAAATTCTGCCTTTTGTAAATTAATCAAATTGCGTTAAGCCTCAACATGAAGCTCTAGTTCTCAGAAATAAACTAGTCATTAATAATAGTTTCATTATTTATCATGTTGAATAAAGTAATGCCAATACCCAAACTTTAAATATTCTGTTATGAAATAAAATCACTCACTCCAAATATCCTACAACCATGTGTTGTGGATAGTCCCTGCAGAGGCTAAGCCTGCACTTTAAGCCACTGAGGTGTTGGTTGACGGGGGTGATGCGATGCCACTGCTATGAAGGAAATCTGTTACAGTCCTATAACTCCAGCCGTACTTATCTTGTCCATTTAACATATTTATTCTTCTTCCTTCAGTTGTATTTATTATTCCACAGTTCTCTTTATCCAACCGGTCACAAATTGATTGCGCCTCCCGAACAACAACACCTGGTGCTGATTACGTGTGTCTACCTTCACATTCACATAAACACATCATACCCTAAAGCACTAAAGGTGACCCCTAGTGGCACACATAAGGTAACAACTCAAAAAATGGCTCCTACAGTCTTTTTTTCACATCGCAGTCATGTTTTAGGAGGAAAGCCAAAGAAAAAAAAAAAGAAAAAAAAAGATAAAAGGTCTGATTGTCTGATTCCACTTTGGGAAAGTCCTGCTATTGTATGTGCAGGTTCACTGCCATGTGTTTACTCATTGTCTTAAGCAGACCTGTGCTTTTCTTAGTGTCATCCATGGAAAAAACACAGTAACCAAGTTTGGTGATCTTATTGAAAGCACAGCATGAATCAGCCTCGACACAGTTACACCTACAGTATCATATTTGATACATAGAGTATTTGGGGAGTTTTTTGAGACTTCATCATCATTTCATCAAAAATGCACAATATATTTATAAGCTATTAAAAAATAGAAATAATCCTTTATAGATATGAACTGTTTTTTTTTTTTAAACAAATTTGTCAGATGGCTCAATGTGGTTAAAAAATAGAATTTACTGGGATTTTTCATATTTCAGGCTTTAACTGGTTAAATCATAACACTTTAACTTGTGTTTGAGACAACGCGTCACAAAGTTCACCTGTGACCATTGATCTTGTTGGATTTAATGCTTTCAGGTACTTTACCGTCACTCTGGCACAAAGTTGCCGTATTTTCCTCTCTTGCATCCCAGTCGGACTTTCCAACTTTTCAGCGGGCTCCTGAGAGTATGGACGTGTACTGTAAGTAGGTGCACAGGGACAGAGTGGATAAACTTGCCTTTCAGTCAGAGCCCGCCTCTCCTGCACGGCAGGAATGTGAAATGCACCTGAACTGGATCCCCCAGCAGGAAGAATGATTGCAGAAAGTCATCAGTTCACCTGTTCCGGGACGTAACTTTTCTTGGCAAGTCTGACAAGAACAAGAAAGAAAGAAAGAAAAGAAAAAATCTGTATAAGTTTTACAAAGTTGCTGTCTGTAGCTGAACCGGGAGAAGAAGGTAAACTAGGAAAACAATGGGTGAGTGCTGCCTGTCTCCAGAGGACGAGGAGAGACTGAGGATCCACAGAGAAATAGAGAGACAGCTTCGACGGGACAGATTAGCGTCTTACCGGGAGCTGAAGCTGCTGCTTTTAGGTGAGAGCTCAGTGTTTAACTAACACACGTCCACAGTGGAACTTTGGAACATAATGAACAGATATGCCTTCAGTAACAAAGAAACTTTAAATAAGTTTAGTTAGTTTGATTTTGTTTTGTTTTTTTACAGTGTACACTTGTTAGATTTGTGGCTAACTGTTATTATTAAAGGGTTACTGATCACAACAGTGAACGTTTGAGTTATATTTCTGAGGCTTATGCAATTTAACAGCTCAACAGAAACAACCTTCAGCGTCAAAGGAATTCCCTGTGATGATTCATTCATCCACCCAGAAACTCTCATACAACCTGCTGAGATTACGCAAGGACATTGAGTGCTATACAAAACAATAATAACGTTCACATTCCAGTTTAACTATGTATATCTTTATATAAGAGAGTGAAATGCTGAATTAGACTAACCAGAACAGGTTAATTATATGTCTGTATCTCGTTTTTCCTTCTTTTTTTAAAAACACTTTTAAGGTCTCTCTTTAAACTAGAGATCTCGAGCTCAATGAGACCTGTTTAAATAAAGAATTTCATAATAATAATAATATACAGGAAAATAGCCTTCCATTTGCAGCTTCACAGTGAGTAGAGTTTGGTTTCTGCTTATGTTCTGGCGTGGATATCCTCAGATTTAGTTTGAAACAGTGTGAATTTTGTGTGTAGGATCATTTCAAAGCCTTATTTGATTAGCATCATGTGATGGGCAAGTATTTGAACTGTAGACTACAGTGGCTTGCAAAAGTATTTGGCCCCCTTGAACTTTCCCACATTTTGTCACATTACAGCCACAAACATGAATCA